GATCACTGTATCAGTGTCGCTGGCGACTTCCGATAGTGTTAGCGCCCCTCCCAGATAGCGCCAGATTGCCCGCCAATACACCAGTAAATCCCGTTTAACCCCTTGAATAACCCCTTGATCGCCCCCCCCCCCCAAGTTAACCCCTTCACTGCCCTGTCACCAGTGTCACTGGTCAGTGAACCAATTTTTACTGATCACTGTATCAGTGTCGCTGGCGACTTCCGATAGTGTTAGCGCCCCTCCCAGATAGCGCCAGTTTGCCCGCTAGTGCACCAGAAATCCCATTTAACCCCTTGATCGCCCCCCCTCCCCCCCAGTTAACCCCTTCACTGCCCTGTCACCAGTGTCATTGATTACAGTGAACAGATTTTTACTGATCACTGTATTAGTGTCACTGGTGACTTCCGATAGTGTTAGCACCCCTCCTAGATAGCGCCAGTTTGCCCGCTAATGCACGGGATTTTTTTTTACCAAAAACATGTAGCAGAATACATTTTGGCTTAAATTTATGACTAACTTTGAGTTTACGATATATTTTTTATAGCTGAAAGTAGAAATATTGTTTTTTTTTTTCAAAATTTTTGTGGTTTTTTTGTGGTTTTTATAGCGCAAAAAATAAAAAGCGCACAGGTGATCAAATACCACCAAAAGAAAGCTCTATTTGTGTGAAAAAAAGGACGTAATTTTCGTTTGGGTGCAGCATTGCATGACCACGCTATTATCATTTGAGTTAGTGCAGCGCTGTATAGCAAAAAAAAGGCATAAATTACAGTATCTATACCATAGTTTGTAGACGCTATATAACTTTCACACAAAGCAATCAATATACACTTATTGGGATTTTTTTTTTACCAAAAACATGTAGCAGAATACATTTTGGCTTAAATTTATGACTAACTTTGAGTTTACGATATATTTTTTATAGCTGAAAGTAGAAAATATTGTTTTTTTTAAAAAATTTTCGTGGTTTTTTTGTTTATAGCGCAAAAAATAAAAAGCGCACAGGTGATCAAATACCACCAAAAGAAAGCTCTATTTGTGTGAAAAAAAAGGACGTAAATTTTGTTTGGGTACAGCATTGCATGACCGCGGGCAAATTATCATTTGAATTAGTGCAGCGCCAAACGGCAAAAAAAGGCCTGGTCATTAAGGGGGGGGTAAATCCTCTGGGGCTCAAGTGGTTAAATTGAACCTCTCCAAAACCAAGCTCCTAGTCTTCCCCCCAGCTCGCACACCACCCCCCACTGACTTCTCCATCACGTCCAACAATGCCACTATCAGGCCCGCCCCGCAGGCCAGAGTACTTGGTGTCATTCTGGACTCCAACCTATCCTTCCAGCCCCAAGTCCAATCACTAACAAACTCATGCAGACTCCACCTCTGCAACATCGCCAAAATCTGCACGTTCCTAACCCCAGAAACCACTAAACAGCTCATTGACACACAAATCTATCTCTCTACCCCTCGCCTCACCCCCTCTGTCTCCGCCCAAATCACAAACCTACTAAACAACATATCAGACTGGATGTCGCTCCACTTCCTTAAACTGAACCTCTCCAAAACCGAGCTCCTAGTCTTCCCCCAGCTCGCACACCACCCCCCACTAACTTCTCCATCATGTCCAACAATGCCACTATCAGGCCCGCCCCCGCAGGCCAGAGTACTTGGTGTCATTCTGGACTCCAACCTATCCTTCCAGCCCCAAGTCCAATCACTAACAAACTTATGCAGACTCCACCTCTGCAACATCGCCAAAATCCGCACGTTCCTAACCCAGAAACCACTAAGCAGCTCATCCACTCCCTCATCATATCACGACTCGATTACTGCAACTCCCTCCTCACTGGCCTGCCTCGCCACAGGCTATCCCCGCTTCAGTCGAGCCAGACTCCTTCACCTCACCAACTGCTCCGGTTCCGCCACCCCCCTCTGCCAATCCCTCCACTGGCTTCTGATTGCACAATGGATAAAATTCAAAATCCTAACACTGACATACAAAGCTGTCCATCATACTGCCCAAAACTACATCACCGAGCTAATATCCAAGTACCACCCAACACGCACCCCCGCTCCTCTCAAGACCTCCTTCTCTCTAGTTCCCTGGTCTCCTCCTCCCATGCCCGCTTCCAGGATTTCCACAGGACATCACCTATCCTCTGGAACTCCCTACCCCAATCCATCAGACTATCACCTACTCTCCTCTTATTTAGGCGCACCCTGAAAACCCACCTCTTCAGGGAAGCCTACCCCACCCCCTGCTAATTGCCGATCTCCTACAATCTTCCTACCACTCCATTCCCAACAGCTATCTCCTCCTGTACCACTATCCCCTCCCTCCTAGATTGTAAGCTTGAAAGAGCAGGGCCCTCGAACCCCTCGTGTATCACATTGTATTGTTTTCGTACTGTCGCATGTTCTGTCTCCCTTTGTAATGTACAGCGCTGAACTGTTGGCGCTTTGTAAATACTGTATAATAATAATGTAAACCAATAATTTACACCAAATAATATAAAACAATATAAACAGCGCAAATAAAAAAAACAATCATATAAATAATAATACCTTCAAATAATAAGTGCAAAAAAATTTACATATAAATAGAAAATAAATATACAAAAAAGGTTTTAAAATAAAAAATGAAAATAAAGTGTCCACAAACATGCTAGAACGCTGTGAGGTTTCTGAAGCTGTCTGTGGACTCTATGGGAATGATGTTTGGCCATTTTGAAGGCAAATAAACAAATGCTTTTATTGGATTTGTAAAATGTGAGTGGCCTGGTATTATTATTAATATTATAAAAAAAGTATTACACTATATACATTCTTTTTCTTGCACTATTGTGGTGCTGGGTGGAAGGATACATCAGGAGTGATTGAAGGGAGAATCTGATCCATATCTGGTGGAATGGAGTCCTGGAGGCTGTAGAGGGGGTATAGGATCCCTAAAAGTCCTAAAACGCGTGTAAATCACCAGTATCTGGTGAGTGCGGTTTATGTTGGTTGCAGCACTGGTGGATGGTGGAAGCACATATTCAAAGGAGAGTTTTTTTTGGTTGGAGCACAAAGGAATTTTGGGAAAAAGGACTTTATATGTTTATGGACACTTTATTTTCATTTTTTATTTTAAAATCTTTTTTATATATTTATTTTATATTTATATGTGTATTTTTTTGCACTTATTATTTGAAGGTATTATTATTTATATGATTTTGGTTTTTTTGATTTGCGCTGTTTATATTGTTTTGTATTATTTGGTGTGTTACACTAGTGTACAGCAGCAGTTCATACTTTGTTGGGGGATTTTCTGTGGCGCAGGAGTTTTTTTTATACAAATAACTTACACGTATTGGGAGTTTTTTTTTTTTTAGCAAAGACATGCCACAGAATACATTTTGGCCTAAATTTATGACGAAATTTGATTTAAAATTTTTTTTCTGTTGGACATGTTTAATAGCAAAATGTAAAAAACATTGATTTTTTTTTCTCAAAATTGTCTTTTTTTTTTTTTTTATAGCGCAAAAAATAAAAACTGCACAGGCGATCAAATAGCACCAAAATAAAGCTCAATTCGTGGGAAAAAAGAACGTAAATTTAATTTGGGTGCAGTGTTGCATTACTGCGCAAAAGTAACGCAGCGCCATAACGCAAAAAATGGCCTGGTCAGGAAGGGGAGTAAATCCTCAGGAGGGCAAGTGGGTGATTGCTGCTAGGGAAAAATATGGATCCACAGAGTGATTCATTTCTACATGCCAAGTTTGTTTTATCTGAGTGCAAGTTTATGATTTTTTTTTTCCAATACAAAATGTATTGATTAGCTCCAACAGCCTGCTTAGATTTTCTGTTTTTCTTTAATGTGACCTCCTGTTGTCACGAAGGCTGTTTTTGTTGTGGCTACACATATGCGGTAATAGTAGGCACAACAGCATTCCAGAGAAAGCTGTCAGGTGAGAATCAAAACTGAAGACGTATGTCTGTAGGTATATTTACCGTGAAAACTTTCCCTTTTTTCGTGCAAAGTGATATAAAAATCATATAACAAACCCTATCAGCATGTGAATATGCTTTCAAAATGCAAGCATGTCATGATTGCTCAATAGCAGAGGTCAACAGGCGCTGGCTTGAAGGATTGCTGAGCCCTCCCCAGACACTGGGAGGATTTCCTAAGGGAGACGTCATGGTATGTATGGCAAAATCTAGCTGTTGGGAAATAGACTGACAATGACACATAAATGAGAATATGACTGTCAGTAGCGGCACCGATTTCTGTGTGCACAGTGTCATAAGACCATCTAGAGAAGAAATACCAGGCGGATGGAATGTATTTGAAGAATATTATCCTGTATTAACTTGCTGAGCTGATTCACGTCTCACTGTGATCAGGAAGTCAGGAGGCTTTGTGGATCCACAAGAAGCAGCATTGCTGTGCTAACTGGGTATGTCTGCCTTGAAAGTTTAACATATTTACTCATTACCTTTATCAGGCTTGTGATTATGTATGTTGTTTGGTAGTTATTGATATTACAATTATTATTATTTATGTCAATATGTTTATTATTTGTGTTTACTGTTTTATTTATTTAGTGACAAACAGTTCTTTGGGAAAATATGTAATGCTTTGTCTTCTGTTTTCTGATAAACACTCATATTGGTGTTTACAACACTTTCTATGATGTTCATTGTTTGCTGATTAGTGTTTAAAGTGTTACTAAACAGTAAAATCAGTCTGTATATGCAGTCAAGCATGCTTGTTATACTCACTGTGGAACCTAAGGGGTTAATCATCTGCATTGTGTAAAAAGGTTGTTTGATCCTGTCTTCTCTATTCCTCCCCTTTTTCAAGTGACCACCACTTATCTCCAGACTGAACCGTAGGCATGCGCATGCTCAGTTTGATGTATATTGCTAGAGAGGTTTATTTTTTTTTCTTGGGAGAGTGCATGTGATCAGCACAGAGCCAATCTGCACTGTCCAGACAGAGGGTCAGGTGTTTCACATCCTCCTAGAGCAGAAAGAAAATTCCTCCTACAAGCTAGTGCTGGGCTAGATACTGACAGAAGCCACAAGACTGCTATATACTGCTGATGAGAAAAGGTATTTAGCAGTTTATATTTACTAAAATAATTGCATTTCCTTGTTCTGTGTACTGTGGGTGACCAGATATAGTGAATGCAGGGTCCTGGGTTTAGTAACTCTTTAATCTTAGATTGTAAGCTCCAAGGAGCAGGGCCCTCCTAACCCTCTTGTATTGAACTGTATTGTTGCTGTATTGTCTCTCGTTATATTGTAAAGCGCTGAGCAAACTGTTGGAGCTATATAAATCCTGTATAATAATATTAATAATTGGTGAGTTTCATTCACCAAAAACACTCGCCCCTGTGGCCTCTTTCACATGGACGTTCTGTTTTTTTCATCAGTCCAGTCACGTTTTTTCAAAGAAAGAACAGATCAGTTTACATCTATTTTTTCATCAGTTTACATCTGTTTTTAATCAGATAACATCAGTTTTTCCATCAGTTTACATCTTTTTTCATCAGATAACATCAGGTGTTTCATCAGTTTACATCTGTTTTTCATCAGATAACATCAGTTTTTCATCAGTTAACATCAGTTTTTCATCAGTTTATATCTGTTTTTCATCAGTTTACATCAGTTTTTAATCAGATTACATCAGTTTTTAATCAGATAACAGCAGTTTTCTTCAGGTAACATCAGTTTTTCATCAGTTTACATCTGTTTTTCATCAGATGACATTCGTTTTTTCATCAGATAACATCAGTTTTTCATCAATTTACATCTTTTTTTTCTATCAGATAATGTCAGTATTTCATCAGTTAACATCTGTTTTTTTCATCAGATAACATCAGTTTTTCATCAGTTTACATCTGTTTTTCATCAGATAACATTAGGTTTCATCAGATAACATTAGGTTTTTCATCAGATAACATTAGGTTTTTCATCAGATAACATTAGGTTTTTCATCAGATAACATTAGATAACATTAGGTTTTTCATCAGATAACATTAGGTTTTTCATCAGATAACATTAGGTTTTTCATCAGATAACATCAGTTTTTCATCAGTTTATATCTGTTTTTTCATCAGATAACATTAGGTTTTTCATCAGATAACATCAGTTTTTTCATCAGTTTACATCTGTTTTTCATCAGTTTATATCTGTTTTTTCATCAGATGACATTAGTTTTTTCATCAGATAACATCAGTTTTTTCATTAGTTTACATCTGTTTTTCATCAGATAACATCAGTTTTTCATCAATTTACATCTTTTTTTTATCAGATAATATCAGTATTTCATCAGTTAACATCTGTTTTTTTCATCAGATAACCTCAGTTTTTCATCAGCTTACATCTGTTTTTCGTCAGATAACATCAACATAACATCTGTTTTTTCATCAGTTTACATCTGGTTTTTATCAGATAACATCATTTATTAAAATATTACATGCAATCAATAAAACAAGGATTGTACATAGAACAATATCGGACCTCTGAAAAGTATAAGCATGCATATGTACTCAGTACTTGGTTTGGGCCCCTTTTGAAGCATTTACTGCCTCAATGCGGCGTGGCATGGAAGCTATCAGCCTGTGGCACTGCTGAGGTGTTACGGAAGACCAGCATGCTTCAATAGCGGCCTTCAGCTCTTCTGCATTGTTCGGTCTCATGTCTCTCATCTTTCTCTTGGCAATGCCCCATAGATTCTCTATGGGGTTCAGGTCAGGCGAGTTTGCTGGCCAATCAAGCACAGTAATCCCACGGTCATTGAACCAGGTTTTGGTGCTTTTGGCAGTGTGGGCAGGTGCCAAGTCCTGCTGGAAAATGAAGTCAGCATCCCCATAAAGCTCGTCTGCGGAAGGAAGCATGAAGTGCTCCAAAATCTCCTGGTAGATGGCTGCGTTGACCCTGGACTTAATGAAGCACAGTGGACCAACACCAGCAGATGACATGGCTTCCCAAATCAACACAGACTGTGGAAACTTCACACTGGACTTCAAGCATCTTGCAGTGTGTGCCTCTCCATTCTTCCTCCATCTTCCTCTTTTCCTCATCAGTTGATCAGAAAAGAGGACTTTGGACCACTGAGCAACAAACCAGGTCTGTTTGTCTTTAGCCCTGGTAAGACGCTTCTGACGTTGTTTGTTGTTCAGGAGTGGCTTGACAAGAGGAATACGACATTTGAAGCCCATGTCCAGGATCCGTCTGTGTGTGGTGGCTCTTGATGCACTGACTCCAGCCTCAGTCCACTCCTTGTGAAAGTCCCCAACACTTTTGAATGGCCTTTTCCTGACAATCCTCTCCAGGCTGCGGTCATCCCTGCTGCTTGTGCACCTTTTTCTTCCACACTTTTCCCTTCCACATAACTTTCTAATAATGTGCTTTGATACAGCACTTTGGGAACATTTAACTTCTTTTGCAATTACCTTTTGAGGCTTTCCCTCCTTATGGAGGGTGTCAATGATTGTTTTCTGCACAACTGTCAGGTCAGCAGTCTTTCCCATGATTGTGATTCCTACTGAACCAGACTGAGACCATTAAAGGCTCAGGAACCCTTTGCAGGTGTTATGGCTTAATTAGCTGATTAGAGTGGGACACTTTGAGCCGAGAATATTGCACCTTTTCACAATATTCTAATTTTCTGAGATTGTGGATTTGGGGTTTTCATGAGCTGTAAGCCATAATCATCACAATTATGACAAATCACGGCTTGAACTATCTTGCTTTGCATGTAATGAGTCTATCTCATATATTAGTTTCACCTTTTAAGTTGCATTATTGAAATAAATGAACTTTTGCATGATTTTCTAATTTTTCGAGTTTCACCTGTATATATTCTCCCCTGCTCTCATGGAATCTCCTCCATGATTATACCCCATCCCATAGGCGGGATGAAACGTGTTGGGGGAATGGACTGGATGGAGTCTGGCCTGAGGCTGCTTTTTACCATAGTTTGGTGTATGTTGCTAGAGAGTTTTTTTTTTTTTGTTCTTTGGGAGGGTGCATTTGATCAGCACTGTCCAGACAGAGGGTCAGGGGTTGTGCAATCTCATAGGGCAGTGAGAGGAGAAAGAAAACTCCTCCTACAAGCTTTAACCATTACTCTTCTGGACACTAATAGAGGTCACAAGACTGTAAAAAGGTATTTAACAGTTTATATTTACTAAAATAATTGCATTTCCATGTTGTGTGTACTGTGAGAGACTAGATATAGTGAATGCATAGTCCTGGGTTTAGTAACACTTTAAGCACAAATCGGAGCAACTATGTGAATGTAGAGCTGAGGGAAGTTTAAAATCCACCTCAGCTTTAATGTGTCATATGGGAGGACTTCCCTCACTTTGCCAGATGTCACTGGTGAGTGAAGTTTACAGAGGAGAGGGGAAATTGTGATGTGTGTTACATACTATTGACCTCTGCAGACTACATTACTTACTCAGGACCGCTGCACTGTGCATTGCTTATTCCTGAGTCCTGCACTCTGCATTACTTACTCCTGACCCCTACACGCTGCATTACATACTAATGACCTCTTTACTCTGTATTACTTACTCCTGAGCACTGCACTTTCCATACTATTGACCTCTGCACTCTGTATTACTTACTCCTGACCCCTACACGCTGCATTACATACTAATGACCTCTTTACTCCGTATTACTTACTCCTGAACCCTGCACTGCGCTGTCCATACTATTGACCTCTGCACTCTGCATTACTTCTGCCTTCTGTGCTGTGCGTTGCGTATTCCTAAAACCTGCACTCTCCAATAATTACTTCTTACCATGACACTCTGCATTACACTACCCTGCACGCTGAGTTACTTGGGGCCCATTCACACGAGCCTGGCTCAGTGTGGTGGTTTAGAGGCATGTGCTTTATGTTGTGTATTAGCGGTGTTAGGGCAAGCCATTCATTTGAATGGGCTGCTCAACGTACTATGATAGACCAAAAAATTGTGCATGTAGCATTGCTGGCAACGCACCACAGTGACCCCTGACCTATTCATACCTTTTAATGGAGCTTTGCTAGGTTATCTCCTTCACAAAAAGTGTATTGTACCCAGGTGATCTTTGATTTTTTTAAATGTTGTTTAGGTAAATCTCTACCTCTCAAGGATTACCTTACCCTTGAGAGATGAGTTTGAACTGCCCAGCTTTACTTTAAAAAAAACTTCCTACTGGGCAAAGTGGAGTTAAATACCTTTCTGGTTCTACTTTTCAGTCCTATTGACAGTAGTCCTAGTCATCCAACAAAGTATACTTTACATGCTTTGTTGGGTGACTATGACTAATGTCAAAAGGACTGCAAAGTAAACTCAGAAGGGTGTTTAATGCCACTTCACCCACTAAGTTTGTTTTAATGCGTTAGTATGCCATCAATTCAGAGTGCTGAGCAGCAGCTGTGACTCACGTGTACATGCGTGGGAGTGATGTTATTGCAGTCCCACCATTCAAACTCTGCTGCCAGACTCTCCGCTGTCAAAATACACTGACCGGCACTGCAGCTGATCGAAGAAGGCTTTTCAGCAGGACTGTTTGACAAAAGACGATCTCATGATCGACTTCTCTTGAACTGGGAGGGCTACACACAGATCAGAATTCAGCCTGTCCCTACTGAACTGGATGATTTTAGGCCCCTGTGTACCCAGCTTAAATCAACATGAAGATTAGATGCATCTTGAGTTTTGGACTTTTTTTATAGTTTTAGTTTTTTTGTGAAAAAGACAATGTTGCCTGTTAAGTTCTTCCACATTTGACACCCTTTGACTAGAACATCTACTTAAAAAATGAAATTATTGGGGATAAAGGTATTTAATTTGTGGAATGTTATGGTTTCTTTTTCCAATAAAGTCTATTGCCTCCCCATTGAATGGTTTGCCTGAGTGCATATTGATAGGTGTCTTCCAGCGACATTCCATCAAGTGACTTTCTACCCTGCTTTATTTCTGTTACATTTACATTGTAGTCCCTCTCACTCTCAGCTTCCCCACCAGTCTTATACCCACCTGTCCCTTATTCATAAAGGTATCTGACTAGATCGTAGAGTTGTATCTCAAAATATTCCCAGCCCTGCCTGGGTATTGCACCATTCATTCATTCCTATAGTGCTTCCAAATACAAGCTTGTTCTCAGAAGCCTCACAGGAATGAATGGCAGAACAGAGCACATGTAAAGGGGACTACAATATTAGTGGAACTGCACCTTTGGCAAAGTTATACTTTAAAGTATACCTGTGTCCAGACTATGCACATGAACCACTTGCCCTCCAGAGGATTTGCCCCCCTTCCTGACCAAGCCATTTTTTGTGTTATGGTGCCACGTTGCTTTAACTGACAATTGCGCGGTCATGCAACGCTACACTCTAATGAAATTTAAGTCCTTTTTTCCCCACGAACAGAGATTTTTTTTAATGCTATTTGATCACCTGTGTTTTTTACTTTTTGTGCTATAAAAAAAAAAGACCGACAATATTGAGAAAAAAAAACATATTTTTTACTTTTTGCTATTAAACATGTCCAGTAAAAAAAATATTTAAAAAATCTAATTTCTTCATAAATTTAGGCCAAAATGTATTCTGCTACATGTCTTAGCTGAAAAAAAATCACAATACATGTAAATTAATTGACTTACGTGAAAGTTATAGCGTTTACAAATGGTGATATATATACTGGAATTTGTCATTTAAAATTTTTTTCTACTAGTATTGGCGGTGATCAGCGACTTAAAGCAGGACTGTGGCAGGCATTCTGACACTGGGGGGAATTGACTTGGTGTCACTAACATCCCCAGTGACACCAATACAGTGATCGGAGCTAATGAAAAGCACCGAAACTGTACTAATGACACTGGGCAGCAAAGGGTTTAACATGTGGGGCAATCAAAGGGTTAACTGTGTGCTGTTTTACTGTGTCATTTGTGTGCTTCACTGTAAGCACAGTTCTTTGCATGGCAGTGTGCATGCAGTGTGCAGGAGTTGACAGGGGAGAGATCTGTATTGTTTACTTATACAGTAGTTCTCTCCCTCTGTCCGGTAATAATCCTCGATCAACGGGTGCCGGTGAGTAATCACCGTCCAGGACAGACAGCCGAGGCCGTGAACAGTGGCCGTGTGCCCGCACCCGGAAATGCAAAATCATATATATAAATGTGATTTTGCGCACACCCGTGCCGCCCTGTAGCAGTGTTACTGCTATAGGGAGGACTGGAAGCGGTTAAAATGTGTACATATTTGGAACTAGCAGTAAAAAAAAAATGTAACCAAGCCCTCATTCACCTTCATAGCCATAGACATTGTGGATAAATTCATCTTCACGTTCACAACAGAGGAGGTGAAATCACCTTATTTCTCTGTAAGCAGAATCTTGGCAACCTGATCTTTATTATAAACACGCAGCAGGTACTTCTAAACGCTCGTGTTTACAGTGTAAATATGCTGGTGTACTTTGGTGCTGGGAGCTCCTGGTGCTGCGTACAGCTGTCTGTAGACATGCATAGGTGTAGGTCTTAAAGTGGCAGCTAAAGTGGTGCTTGCATACACACATAAATTCTTGAACACAGATTATCTGCGGTGAGAGACTTTTATCTGTACATACGTGCCACTTGACGCAAGTAACGGTGCATACTTGCATACTGCTGCCCAGGGGCGGACTGACCATTTGGAAACTCGGCACTGCCCGAGGGCCCGGGGTCAGTAGGGGGCCCCATGAGATGCCCCTGGTACCTTTTTCATAGGCTTTTTTGAGTTTGGGCAAGGACCCATGATCCCTTATTGCTCGGGGGCCCCATGAGTTGTCAGTCCACCCCTGCTGCTGCCTACCCATTCATGTGTATGGGTGGCTGTATACAGCAGCAGAGTCTCCCGTGCTCCAAAATACACCAGCATGTTTACATTGTAAGCAGGAATATGTCTGTGTGCATGAGCCCTAAGCTGTTAGAAACCAACTGAAATTTGATTTTTTTTTTTCTTTTTTTAGGCTTTTCATGGTGCCTGAAGGCACAGAGGTCAGGAGTAGTTTGTTTTAAAGTAACTTTTATTGCTTGTTAAAAATGTAAATACTTCAATGTTCATGACCTGGGTCCAGATGCACTTTAATTAATTTTAAACTGATGAATTACTAATTGCCAAGGCTTTATAACAAGGAATGTGCAACCTTTCCAGTGTCTTTTTTTTTTTTTTTTCTCCATATCCTTGTAAATATATGTTTGGTTGGCAGCCATATTATTCACAACATACGCAGACAATGCTACTCGCGCCTCAGTGCTGCACAACGTTTGTTTTTTTTTTACTTTTCTTTATATATTGGAACATCAAAGACACATTGGATTGACCACTTTTTTTTATTAATTTTAGGCAGAACAAGAATGCGCATTTAATAAACTATAAAAAATGGCTGGAAACGATCAAGCAAATGACGTTGCTGAGGATGGATTATCAGAAGTGAGAGATCAGGACACACATTTAAATGAGTACATTATACCATCCCAGGTGAAATGTGAAGGCACCCCAGACATGACACCGGAAGGTCTTTCTATATCTCCTAGCAAGGATGATGAAAAACTAAAGCCAAAACTGCTCTGTGGGTACCTTTACAAATTGGGGATGAAAGGACCTCTCAAAGCTTGGAAGTATCGATTTTTCTCCTATGATGACAAGAAGTTCCGCTTACTGTACTACAGGATGGCTTCAGATGTCTGCCCACTGGGAAGTATAGATCTTTGTGCAGCTACATTTCATTTCAGTATGGAATCAGAGGAGGGAGTGTTTGAAATTAAAACGCCATCAAAAACTTTTATCCTAAAGGTATGAATAATGTCAATGTGAACCACACAGAGGTTTTTAAATAACTTTAATTATAAAAATCATTCAGGTTAATTAAACGTATTGCGTATTATGGCAAACAGCAATGTAGAGTGCACATTATTTTGTGGCATTGCTAGAATTGTGAAAGACCTGGGGCACCCAGAAAAAGGCAAAGATGTTGCATAGCATGCCTCGGCAAATGATAGATTTGGTCACATTGCACCAACAGTGGAATTGGCTTAAAGAGGCATGGGTACATAAAACCTTATTCCACTCTTGCATATGCTACAGTCATTGTACTAATAAAATATATACATGTAATGTATAATATAGCATATAGAGTGCAGGGGTCAAGCGTTTGTAATGTACAGCTCAGTGTAGAGTGCAGGGGTCAGGAGTATGTAATGCACAGAGTGTAGGGGTTAAGTGTATGTAATATACAGAGGTCAGGGGTATGTAACATACACAGTACAGATGCCTGGAGTAAGC